ATCTGGGTATTTCTGTATTGGGTGCATATATATTTAGGATCTTTAGCTCTTCTTGTTACATTGATCCTTCTATCTTTATGTAATATCCTTCTTTGCTTCTTTTGATCTTTGTTGCTTTGAAGTCTATTTTATCAGCAAAAATTGTAACTCCTGCTTTCTATTTATTTATTTTTGCTCTCCATTTGGTTGGTAAATTTTTCTCCATCCCTTTGTTTTGAGTCTTTGTGTATCGTTGCGTGTGAGATGGATCAGGATGTAGCATACCAATAGGTCTTGCCTTTTTTTGCCTGTCTGTGTCATTTTGCTTTATTTTTAAAGATCAGCATAGATCTTTAAAAGATCCACAAGCTTTGCACAAGTGAAGTCCCTAAAGAGGTTTTAAGAGACATGCTCTCTATGGACTAGTGAAAAAAATTATACAAAGGAGGCACGCTGCTTCTACCTCTTACATCCTAAAAACATTCCAAAGTGGAAAACCCATCAGAATTTATTTTACCCTTTTTTTTTTTTTTTAAGATGGGAACACAACTCCTGGCACCATCTCTGTAGCATGTTTACACACTGGTATTCTCCATCCCCAGCCCCGCTGGCTCTGCTCATAGGAGTGTGCATTTTTGGGATCAGCACTCTTCATGAGGGCTGCCTCGTAGAAGGGTTCCAAGTGGAAGCCTGAAAACCAGCCACAGAGCACTCGTTTCACCACCTGTACAAAGTCAACACGTACCTATTTCAGACAGCCATTTGGGAATGACTTTTGTAGGGTTAATATTCTGTGGGTTGTTTTGTTCTTTCCTTTTCTTTATGAAGCCAGAGGAAATACTAAGGCAAAGCACAGAGATAGAGCAAATCCAGAGATGCCGGGGCGGAAGCTGGTTCAGGTAATATGTGAAAAGTCTTATTCCTCTTTTTCTCATGCTGAGTGCCTGCTCCAAAGAACCCACACTGCCTCAGAGATAAGCAGGGACTGTCATTTAATTGTATTGTTTGGCTTATGTTTTGTATAGAAAGGCAGCAAAGATTAACTAAAAATAACAAGAATTCAAAGCTGCCAGGGGTGAGAGGCATTTCTGTATCCATAAAAATGAACTGGGGAGGGGCAAGGGGAGCAGCTGGCTGGAGCAGAGGGAGCTGGAGGGGAGGGAGGACTGGCTCTGCATGTTACGGTGTGCGCATCTGAGGCATATCCAAGCAGGGTGTGTGAAGACTTCTTAATGACATAGGAATACACCTCATATGAAATATCGAAATAAAAGAAAAAGCCACTTCCCATCAGCACAACAATTAACTATCTCCAAAACCATTTTTTTTTTTTTT